GAGGCAGACAATAATAGTGTTCCCGTCTTTTTCTTCTTAACAACAGGCTGAATTGGTCTTGATGATGCTGAGATGGCTTCCTGAAGATATTACAGTTCACAATGAGGACTTAGAAGGTATTTAAGAGTAATATACACTCTTTTCTCATAGTAGTCTCTCTCCAAGGGGAAGCTTTTTATAATTTTGAGTTTGGATTAAGCCAAAATTAACCGGGAATGGAAATACAGATTGTTAGTTTTGTAATTCTGTATGCACACCTTAAGCTTTTCAGTTCAGCTACATTTAATTAAAAAATGGCAGTTCAATCTGGTGAACTCTGATTTTGTCTTTATGGTTTAGCTCAGACATTTTTGGAGGACGCACCTCTTGGGTTATAAATATTTTTATCATCTGCACTCCATCCTCCTTCCTAATTTCTGTATTGGAATTCTCTTCAGGTGACAGGCGTAGGCTATTGTTGCGGGGACTTACTCAATCTTTGCCTGAGATCTTTCCTTTATTGTATAATGTATGCCACAGATTTTTCCTCTCAGTAAAGTTGTTTGCTGCAGTGGTAATTTGCTGAATAAATTAAAATGCAGCTTCTTGAGAGACACTTTGGAGCTGCAATAAGTGAAGCCGGTAGGCAGAATGTCGACTTGGCAAAACAGCATGCGGATGTGGTTATAGCTTGTTTGAATGCCATCATCGCATATGCTGAGTGGGCTCCTGTTCCAGATCTTGCCAGATATGGAATTCTTAGTGGGTACGTCTTGGTTTGACACCCTTGCAGAGATTGTTATATCCATATAAGCCATGCATTGTTCCTTACTGATGACGTGCTCGGATACTCATAATAGGTGCAGCTTCTTACTTTCTTCTCCTGACTTCCGTCTTCATGCTTGTGAGGTTTTCAAACTCGTCTGCTCAAGGTATGCAACTGGACTGTTTGATCTGATGTACTTACGTAATGACCGTACGCAAGCATCTTTTTTAAAAATTTCGCTTTCCTTCTCTGCAGAAAAAGACCCAGTGATGCTTCTACTGCAGAGTTCGATTCTGCAATTAGCAATTTGTTTCAGATCCTGACCAATATCTCCAGAGAATTCTTATTGAGATCCTCCTCAAGTTCTAGCGTTATAGATGAAAGTGATTACGATTTTGCTGCATGCCTGTGTGAAAGTATGGCCTTGTTAGGCTTAACGAACTTGCAATGTATCTCTTCTGATGGCGGTGTTATGGTTGTTTACCTTCAGCAGGTACTGATCTCGTATTATCAATTTTTTTATTTTTCTTACTTTACTGGATGTTTTCAGTGAAGATATTGAAGCTATTAATTTATATTGGAATTTGAAGCCCTTGTCTGTGTTACAGTAGCATTCTGATACAGGAGAAGTTTCTGTTGTGAACAGTCGATTTTTTATAGTTTTGACCTGGTCATTTAAAATTGGAGATTTTATCCTCGTTCTTGACTGAGCTGAGTATAAGTGTATACTAAATGTCATAGTTGCTGTTATATTTGATTGGATCTAAGCCAATTATTAATTAAAAATCCTTTTATTCATGTTAGCGTTATTAATTCTTGTTATCAGATATCCCTTAATTGTTTTTATTTTTGTATAGATGCTTGGCTTTTTCCAACACTTCAAATTAGGCCTTCACTTCGAGGCACTTATCTTTTGGCTGGTATGTGGTCAATCCAACCTTTTCGTTGGGAAATTTCAGAGACAAAATATTTGTTGCTAACTTCAGTGTCTTTGCCTTTTGGGTTTTAGTCATTGATGCGAGATTTACTTCCAAAGCACAAAGCCGCACATCCAAGTGGTGAGGGATCATCAGCTGGCAGTGTGGATGGTTCAAGCCAGGGTGATAGTGAAAAGAAAAAGACTTTAAGTCTTATTAATGATGATATCTCTAGCGCTCTACTGGATGTATCCTTTCAGCGGATGCTCAAGAAAGAAAAAGTTCCTCCCGGAATTGCTCTTTCGCTTGGGCCCCTAGAACTTTGGAGCGATGAATTTGAAGGAAAGGGAGACTTTGGCCAGTACCGATCCAAGCTTGTATGTTCCTGAACCAGATGCATTGTGTCTTGCTTTCCAGTCAAATACTAAACGAGTAACTTTTTTTTTCTTTCGTGCAGTTAGAACTGATCAAGTTTACTGCGTCTCACAAACCTCTCATTTCCAGCACCAAAATATCCGAAAGGGTTATTACACTCATTAAGAATCTGTTGGCTTCTCCAACACCTCTTCAGGTTGTTACAAACACTTATTTTTTGCTTTTTAGTTCCTTTGACAAAATGCATCGTGAGATTGTGTTTGGTCAGAGATATCTGCTATATCAAGGCTTCGTTGATGATCCAGTTCATATGTAAGCTCATGATACAAAACATTTTCAGGATGTAGCAGTGATGGATAGCCAGCAATTAGCACTTGACTGTATTGTGGCAACAATTTTTGATGGATCAAATGAGTTTGCTGGCGGGAGTTCTGAAGTTCATTATGCATTGCGCGGAATATTTGAAGGTATATGGCAGCATATTTCATGTTCTCTAGTTTTTGTTTATTATGTCTGGGCTTGTTTAATACTCTGTTTTGTGCTGTTGATGGCCCAGGATTACTTCAGCAGCTTCTCTCTTTGAAATGGAATGAACCAGAACTCATAAAAGTGCATGTGCACTATCTGGATTCAATGGGTCCATTTCTCAAGTATTATCCCGATGCAGTTGGAAGTGTCATCAATAAACTATTTGAGCTTCTCACCTCTCTTCCACACGTTGTGAAGGTTTATATCTTTTTTATTATTACTGTCTTTATTATATATATTAATACATGCGCTCATTCATACATATAAGACAATTTCAAATCTCTGACAGTGCGCAAGTGGATGAGTTATCTGATAGTTTGTATTTTTGACAGGATCCAGCTACTAGTACATCTAGAGCTGCAAGATTGCAGATTTGCACATCTTTCATAAGAATAGCCAAAGCTGCAGAAAAAAGTGTTCTGCCTCACATGAAGGTAACTTTGACCTGACACTAATTTCCTTCAGGAATTCAGATAAGTAAACGGTGGAAAATTGTTTGCAGAATTCATGATTTGATAAGCTCATGCAGTGTGATATATGAATATACCACTACACATTTTTTATTGACGACTCGCACGAAGGCACAATTCTTTGACTTGGTTCAAGAAAATTAGTAGAGGTGTCTGGTTAGCATATCTTGTTATAATTAAAGTGACATGACACCTCCTGTTGGTTGGTCTGCATCATCATATCATTGGCTTCTTTTCCTTGCTTGTTGGAATACTTTTGGTTAGCTAGAAACTGATTAACATACTCTTGTGACGCTTGGGTATCATGATTTATGGCATCAGATAGCTTCTCTCTGGAAGATAAACTTATCTGCATCTATGTGGCAGAATTCTTCTTTTGCATTTTTCTCAGTTGTCTCTCTGGGTAATTTATAGCACAAAAAGAAATATAAACCGTCATCTTACAGTCATAATTTTGCACAGGGTATTGCTGATAGAATGGGTTATTTGTCAAAAGAGGGAACTTTACTCCGTGGGGAGCATAACATTCTGGGTGAAGCATTTCTTGTTATGGCTTCCTCGGCAGGGTAATGTTTGGTTCATGTTGAAGCTTAATTTGTTGCATTTATCCATCTTCAGAATTTTCGTGTTCTTACATATAATCTAAACTTGGCGCAGAGCTCAACAGCAGCAAGAGGTTCTTGCTTGGTTATTGGAACCATTGAGTCAACAGTGGATCCAACCAGAGTGGCAGAACAATTATCTATCAGACCCGATGGGTCTTGTTCGTTTATGCTCCAACACACCCTTCATGTGGTCTATATTCCACACTGTTACATTCTTTGAAAAAGCACTCAAGAGAAGTGGTTACAGAAAAAGCAATTTGAATACGACCTCTGTGACAACTCCAGCTTCACATCCTATGGCTAATCATCTTTCTTGGATGTTGCCACCCCTCTTGAAAGTAAGCCTCTGAAAATATGGACATGCTTCGTTTAATTCGTAATTAAGCTTTTTAGGTATTGAATGCATGTTAGGAACTTTTTTTTTTTTTGCAAGAACTTAACAACGTTCATTTTTTAAATCTACAGCTACTCCGTGTTCTTCATTCTCTTTGGTCTCCCTCTGTATGCCAAACATTACCCCCAGAACTGAGGGCAGCAATGACAATGAGTGATGTTGAGCGACACAGTCTACTTGGAGAAGCAAATCCTAAATTGTCAAAAGGCGTATCGGTTTATGCTGATGGGTCATTCGATGGAACTAAAGAAGGACAAGCTGAGGATGTAAGAAATTGGTTGAAAGGTATCCGAGAGAGTGGGTAAGTTTGTAGTATTGTCCTCTAAGGAAGACTTACATAGCGATTTGATTTTCCTCTCATTTATCTATATTCATTAATGCTTGTTTACACATGTAGATACAACGTGTTGGGTCTATCAACAACCATCGGAGAGACATTCTTTAAATGCTTAGATGCTAACTACGTTGCGATGGCACTCATGGAGAACTTGCAGACGATGGAATTCAGACACATACGGCTGTTTATTCATAATTTTGTCGTTCATATAGTCAAATCTTGTCCGGCGGATATGTGGGAGGCATGGCTCGGAGTGCTTCTGCACCCATTGTTTATTCATTGTCAGCAAGCTCTCACCTCCTCTTGGTCCGGTCTTCTGCACGAGGGCAGAGCAAAGGTTCCAGACTCTTTTGGCGTACAAAGTGGATCAGACATGAAGCTTGAAGTGATGGAGGAAAAATTGTTAAGAGAAATAACTCGGGAGATTGCGACCCTCTTTTCAATAATGGCTTCTCCTGGATTAAACCCAGGAGTTCCCGTTTTGGAACATTCAGGCCATGTTGGTCGTGTGGACATGTCTACTCTCACAGATTTGCATGCGTTCAAATACAACTCTATGGTGGGGTACGTAATACTACCCATTAATATCTTTCGGAATTAAGTCATTTGAGAAGATAAAGTATAACAAAAAAAAAATGGTTTTGCAGTTTCGTCCTGAATCACAAAAGCGTGGCTCTACCAGCACTGCAGATCTGTTTAGAAGTCTTTACCTGGACAGATGGAGAAGCGACCACCAAATTCTGTTACTTTTGTGGTGTTGTTGTTCATCTAGCTATACTAACAAATAACGTGGAGCTACGAGAATTTGTTTCAAAAGATTTGTTCTCTGCAGTCATCCGCGGCTTAGCCATGGAGTCCAATGCCATTAACAGCGCCGACTTAGTTAATCTATGCCGTGAAATATATATCTATCTCTCCGTCAGAGACCCAGCTCCTCGCCAGGTGAGTTTTTTTATCAGAAGCGTTTATGGTTGACTCCTTTTGCCTTCCTTAGTGTCAAACCTGGATGAAATGCGAAAAACTCCGAGTGCTGGTTATCGAATTAGAGTTGAATGTTACTTCCTTTGTCTTGGTTTTGATCATGTGTTCGATGTTATCAGGTTTTGCTTTCGCTCCCTTGTCTCACTCCCAACGACTTGCATGCTTTTGAAGAAGCTGCGGCGAAAACTCCTAGTCTTAAAGAACAGAGGCAGCTCATGAGGAGCTTGTTGTTGTTAGGTGCTGGGAATAACTTGAGAGCGCTTGCTGCTCAAAAAAATCAGAATGTTATCACCAATGTCACAGGTAAGCCCCGCTTGGCTTCACACTTACGATTTAGAATTAAAAGTTTCGCTTCTCTAGTAACTTTCGTTTTTGGCTTCAGCAAGAACGCGCCTAAACGCAAGCGTTTCAGAAACTCAAGCAAATGAAGGGGAAACAATTGGATTGGCCAGTATTTTGTGAAGTTGAAGCCATAGGAGTGTACTTACAGTGATCCAGAATATAAACCGGAGTTATTTTGAGAGGTAACAATATGATAGAGAAGCAGGTTTCTGTTTATGTCTTTACCTCAAAAAGTGCATATGTAGAGAAACTAGAGATAACTCAAAGCTTACACACACGGGACAAGGAACCTTTCCCCAAAGCTTCCATGTCATAATCAAAGGTTTTTGGTAATATCGATTTTTTCTAGTATTCTATATGAGTTAGACAAAGATATTATATATAATGATTATATTTATATTCCTCCATTTCTCAGCTTATTTTGATATTATAATGTAATTTACGAAAATACAGCCATACAGATATTTGATTTGATTTTGGATATCACTATTTATAAATAATCTATAAAAAACGAACCGAAATCCGAATCAAACACGCTTGGATGCTAATCAGTCTCGTTTGGATCCCTTGTATTATGGGGGGCAAGATGGATACGAACCATAAAATCGCAGTATCTTATATGATGGGGTGAATTCAGGAGTTTCGAGTTTGGTTGTTGATTTTTGGAGGATATCAAGGGGCTTAGGGATGGATCGTGATAATAAGAACCGCAAACTCACCATATTTCGTAGTTTCCGCAGAAAATTATACAAGATGGTGGATGATCCTTCCACGGTTTCAATAGTTTCGTGGGGCGAGAGCGGGAAGAGTTTCATTGTTTGGAATGAATCTGAGTTTTGCAGAAATGTTCTTCCAAGAATAACACTAACTAATGACATGGGATTGGGATATTTCCTCCGCCGGATTCGATCCTTGGGGTTTAAGAAGATTGAGGAGTCTCAGCATTGGGAATATGGAAGCCATGAGTTTGTGAGGGGTCATCCTGAGCCTGAGCCTTCTCCAGAAGAAGTGAGAGCGAGAATTAAGGAGATTGTCGAGGCCTTAAATAGAAGGAAGGTACAAGAAGCTGACCGAGTCATTGCTTCAAAATAAATGATATGAATTATACATACAATTTTAATAATATGATTCTTTCTAGATAACAGTTTCTTGTGTTGAATCCGGATGATGATGATTATAATTCAGCTAAATGAGAAAATATAAATTGTGATCAACTTTCATGTGGTTGGTGGACCACTTGGATACAACAATGAACTTACTAAGTGAAGTAGATCTTTTAGCTAAATATAGCTATGCATAGAAACTTATCTTACACTTTGTGTGGAAGAAGAGGCCGGAGATGGATTCCTGCGGTACAGTTTAACAATGTCATTTTTTTATTCTAATTATCAATTTATTTCGTTATTGGAGATAATTATTGTATTTTTAAGATTAGATTAGTGGATGTACAACACTAATCTGATAGTGCAAAACAGCTCGATCTTCCTTTACGAGGCTTATGGATCCTAGCATTCGAGAACCCATATTATTGATAACTAATCACCACGTTACAAGTTCAATATATATAGACCATAGCAAAAAAAAAAAAAAACTAACTATACACAATCCATGTGTGTATATCAGTATATGCAATGCCGATAGCACTTTGCCGATTTAGTACCATCCACAAGGCCAGTTCTAGGGGTATGCAAAAGAAGAAATGTTGTTCAATTCGAACATTGGGATATCTACTTTACTTTACAAATCCGGATCAAAATATCAAAAATATATCTTATTTACGCATTCCAATAATTAATTATACCATCACCCATTGTATGTAACACTTAGCATTACTAAAAGATATATTAGACAGCCGCAAACTGCTTTAAAACCTAGTTTAAAGACACATTACCTACTTATAAGGTGCGGTAAAAATCATCTAGATAAAAAAAAAAAAAAAACCACAAATACTTTGATTTTGCGTTAAAAAAACGTCTTAGACAATAAAAAAAATATAGTTGTAGTGTTGTTCTTTCTTGTTTACGGGTTTGGGTGGCTCCCCTCTTCGCCGGTCCACTACGTGTGTGTCATCGAGACTGTCATTGTACGAAAAATAGAACCGAGTGATTCACTTTGAAACCAAAAAAAATTATATATTAGCTCGAAACACAAACATTATTTTAATGTTATATGAAAAAGAAGAAGAAGATAAATTACGAACCTTAAACTTATTCATCATTTTCAAGGCAATCACACCTGAGAGTTTCCCAAAGGTAACCTGAGAGTTTACAAACCGACAGGATGCAGATCGCCAAGCCAAAGACAACACATAAAAAAATAAGCTTCTCCATGTTCGTCTTCGTACCTCACCAAAATTATTATTATGTTTATAATCGTGTTTGCTTCTTTTTGCAGACAAATCATATATAGAAACTAGCGTATGTGTGTTATTGAGGTCAGGAAAAAAAAATGTAAACTTTACATTTTAAGACTTATACGTGAATCTTACAATTAATGTATGATTCACATATATGTACATGTCTAATCTTATTATATAAAGTTGAATATGCATTCAATTAGATTGTAGTATAATAAGATATTTCCATTTTTGTAGTTATAACTCTTAAGGATTGAGTTTGACATTTGTTCAATTTTAACTAATAACAAAAAAAAGAAGGAAATATACATATTTATTACCATTTCTGTCGGTTCAAGTTTATTCAAAAAGGAAATACATATCTTTAACCATAAATTCAAAATTGGAAAGATAAAAATCTACAAATTCTTAGACATACCAACAAAGTGCAAATAGAGAGATTGAAATTTGGAAACTATAGCAAACAAAAAGGATAAATGAAAATTCTTAGACTACAAATTTTTATACGAAACCATGTTACGTTAATATGGTTTATAAGACTACAAGTTCTTTGACCCTCTCTTTCTCTCTTTCTTTAACAAAACTCTCTTCCTCAAACACTAATTGTGTTTTGCCTATCCGCAGGTGCAACGCATTGCCAGAGGGAACAGTAAGGCAGGATATCTGCCGGATTTAATCCCAAAGCAGAAATGTTTCGGCCAAACTCCTGGTAAAGATATTTTAACCGATGAGGACGATACTTGTTTCTAAGAACTAGTATTTTCAATCAAAGTTCATGAGGAGGGTTACCTGAAGATCAAGGAACAACTGCACACACATCTTGTCTTTTTGAGATACATTCTGGTCAGATACACCTGATGCTGCGCCTGCTCGTTTCTGTGCATTTTGTCGGAATTTCTGAAGAACCGTCTCTTTATTTGTCGCCTGTAACATATTACCACTTTCACGACACATAAAGTACTTACCAACCATTTCTTGATCTTGACAGTAATAATAAGAATTTGAATACTTCTTATTAATAATCCTCATAAAGTGCTTAAAACAAAAATACTTACCCCGCTAACAAGTTCAGCGGCTAATTCATAATACCGCCTGGCAATTTCAGTGACAGTGCCAAGCAATAACTCCTCCCTTGTTTCGTGGGTCAAGTAATCTCTAGCCTTATCTCCCTCCAAAAAGGCCTATTAATACGAAAGATGCAATAATCCACACTTCCGAATTCGTCAGTCGAGTAACTATGAACTTAAAACCGCAACCCCAAAGCTAAATGAATACCTTTAGAGGACGCAGTAGTCCAACGACGTATGGTGAGTGCCTAACAGGCAGTGGTTTATTGCTTGGTGAGTGCCCGATTTGTCTGGCTTAGCAACAAGATACCAAGAAATGAGTACAGTGAGTGAAATATAAAACGACAACACTCAGAAGGAAACAATATTCAATTATGATTAACGAACAAGATTGGTATCACACTAAAATATGAAGATAATAATAAGCCCCTGAAGAGAGAGAATTTAGGTTACTCTGTAGTTGCATAAACAATTTCTTACAGTATATATCAGGAAAACTTCTTTGCCAGAGAAAAATGGAACTCTAAAAGGTGATTGGAGATCTACAACAAATATGATCACACAGAGATTGTGAGCGAATGAAGATATTTCTAGCAGCATTTTACAGTCCTTTGCAATATAATGCTTGATCTGTTTGTAATTGTTTTCAAGTTCATCTCCCGATGTTCCAGCAGCATCTGCTGATGTTTTACGTATAAATGGAGCCACAATCGTTGTACGGAAAATTTCTTCTGCATTCTTTGTGTTATCAATGGCAGCGTATGCACGTAGGCAGTTGTAAAGGACGCTTGTGTCGCTGTTGTTTAGTCCGTCAATGAAGCAATGACCCAGGCTAGGATCCAATAACAAACCAGCGCTCTGAATCCTCTTCTCCATGTTCTCAATGAAAGGCAGGTTCTGTACTGGCATAACAGAAAAAAAAAAAAAAATAGTGAGCATCATTTACCAGGTAGCATCTCATGGTTATAACCAGTTTATTTCAGCAGCAAAGCAAATGAAACTATCTTCTGAAGCCCCATACTCATAGCCAGATTTGATCTCCAGGATACTACGCTTAATTGCACAATACTTGAAGATGAACAAGGAACTGTGACTTCGGAATATCAAATATTTCAGCAATTAAGGAGAAGATTGAATGTATAATGGAGACCTGTGCATGAGCCGTATAGAACTTGAGTCGATTCATTTCACTAGCTATTCTTTCCAAAAGCATGCTCTGGGTTTCTCTCATCATCTTCTTCATCATTCATACAACTCCTTCCCAAGGAATTAGCATCCTCTTCGTTTTGCCAATCAGAAGGAGTAGTTGGTACAACTTTAATAAGCTTTTCAATCGGAACGTTGGTGCAATGCAGTCCTTAATGCGAAAAGTGCAGCCTCCACAGACCCACGAAATCCATTGATCTTCTCACGGAGGTCAAGGAGCGGAGCGCGCATGCCGACTACAGCCGCATCGATATCAAGGAGATTAGTGCTTAAATTCACGAAATCGGCATAGTCTCGATTGATATCTCCAGCTCAAGTTCCAGACTACACAGCATAGTTTTCTGTATACATCAGACAGTATTTAAATGTTAGACAATTGCCATGATATAACTAAAACATTAGAAAAAACATGGAATCAAAGTTTATGTCTCTAACCTTTCTCTTCTCATAGTATTGAAGCCTGAGGTTGAAGAACTCTTCAAGTTTAAGATGTTGAATTTAGTATATGTTATGAAGAAGAAAAAAACAGAAGGAATCTCTTGTTACTTACTTTGTTCTGGAGTGGCATATTTCTTTATCACGGCGGTTTGATCAAAGAGATGCATATTGGTTGTACTGATTGTCTTGGTGAGTTTGAATTTTTCGAGCCAGTATCACGTTCTCTTCACTCATTTTGAACTCTAAGACCATAGAGTTCGCCGAGCCAGTATCCCAGATGCCTTTCTGCAGAAAGAAAAAAAAGTGAATCAAAAACAACCAGACTAAGAGTTTCTGGTTAAAACCAGGAATACTCTAACCTGGATAAAGGGGACGTCTCAGTCCATTGAATACAATAATTTCTTATAATCATCAGTCCACGTTCTGACTGGTAGCTCGGTAATACGAATAGTTTTGGCACCAACTACCTCACACACACCAGCGACGGTGCACTGGAAGCAGTTTCCTCAATAGTTCCTTTAAAACCTCTATACCAAGGCTTCATAGGCACCATACTTTCACCATTAAGTAGACGCCTTACATTGGCAACGATATCTCTGGGGTTATAGCATGGTACGAAACAATTCAACCCAGTTCCAGTTATTTCACAGCCATTAACAAGCACAGTTGGAATGATGGAAACAACAGATTATTATTACAAAATCATAGAGCCAATTTGGTAATATTCTCATTCTAAAAATCATTAAGATGCTTATCAAATATTTACCAAATTGGCTCTATGATTTGGCCTTCTTCATTCAAGTTGTAATTAAGGAGAACATCATCATCTTTGGGAAACAAAACCCTTGTTACTGGAGAGAGCTTAGTGTAAAGTTGGCCTGCATCTTTTCCACCCTATATTGGACCACCACAATAATGAATACGAGAGAAATCGAAAACTGGTTGCTATCGTGAACCAAATTGACTTAATGGTTGATATTGTTGCTACCAACGTAATCCTGCGCCATACCGATGATGGATTTGGTAAGTCTCCTTTCGCCGTGGCGATGATGCATTGTAAGCGAATTGGGAAACAAGGGCTTCCTTGTCGAAGTTTAGCTTGAATGCGTCGACCATACACGGAATATTCCTTTGCGAATCACGACACGTAATTTCCCGGTTTCGGAATGCAAAAGGTCAAGTTTTTCGAGAATCTCACTACAATGAAGAAGAAGGATACTTTTAACATGTTGGGCCTTAACAAATTGAACAAGATTGACGAGTCTCAGCATTGCATTGGGAATATGGAAGCGATGAGTTTGTGAGAGGTCATCCCGAGCCTCGAGGCCTTAAATCGAAGGAATCAGATTTAGGAATCAAATGTTATTGTATGAATAATCCCTCTTCGTTGGAGTTGCTACTGATAATTTATCAGTGTGTTTGTGTTTCTTTCAGCACTGTTTTCTTCTTAGTTCCATAACTAAACAAGAGATCATTATGTCCAAGGTACTACTGTTTGAACAATGTCACAGGATCCGTTTGTGATCAGTGCAGAATACGGTATCTAGTTGCTCGGTATTCATTCGATGTATCTACCGTGAATCTCACATAATGGCCCTTAACTCTTCTCTTTCCAGATCCATATGGTCTCAGGGATTCAACAGCTGATTCAATTTGCCATTAACAGCCCTTATTTAGTTAATTTTATGCCACAATAACTATTTATCTCTTTCTGAATGAGCTTTAAGGGAATAATTGCTTCTTTTTCTCAATGCAAGAAAATTGATTGAGTTGTATGGTTAAAATATGAACCCAGAAATTGATACTCCTAGTTTATATATCTGAAATCAGAGTCAAAGATCAATAGGAGATAAGTTTC